GGGTCTAGGCCATCAGCAGACTGCTTCCTGCCTCTCCAGGTTACGCTGAAGCCTCTGCCTTACCTGTTGGTGTGAGGACAGGGGCAGACACTACAGGATCCGCGGGCGGCGTTCCCATAGTGACCCTCCTTGCAGCGCTCGCAGTGCTCCCCGGCCGTGTTGTGCTGACAGTTCTTGGGGCAGAGAAACAGGACAATGAATGCACCTCTTACACCTCCTACTTGTGAGGTCCCTGTAATCTTACACAGTTGTAACTCAAGTCCTCTGAGTCTATACGAGAAACAGCACATGTGAATCGGTGGATACGCTGATTACCCTACTTTGGGGATTACACGGTGAATACAGTATCAAAATATCACACCGTATCCCATGACTATGTACCGGTCTGTCAATTAAAATTATTGAAATTTAAGGTACAGAAAATGAAGGTGTTAAATATCCATTTCTTTTCTAGATATAGAATTGTGCTATAAATGTAAGTGACTAGTATGTATATTTGAAAGCAAAGAGGGTGTTTGGGTGTTGTTTACATGTCTCCACTGGATCGTCACCAGGACGCTGACCCTGTCTGGAATTTTCCTTCCTCCCTGGATCTCACTGCAGTGTGGGTTTCTCCCTTAGGTTTGAACCCCGGGACAGAACTCACCCTGTGGTTTATCTGCTCCACAGAGGAGATCTTTCGAACACTGCAGCGATATATCTGGCTTTCACGCAAGGAGGACACCAAAGGCTTCCTTCACCTTTCTTTTGCTCAGCTGCTCTGTTTCACTCATGAAACATCCTTATTTTAAACTCATTATTTACCTTCCCATTTGAATTTTCCTTCTAAAATAAATGACAATTTTAAAGAAGAACATTTGGTGATAGCTATAGTTCAGTCCTCTGCTCACCTAGATCTGCAGCTGAAAACAGTTGGAGGGACAAGGATTGCGCCGAGGGTGTGCAGATCCGGGTAAAAACACTCTGCCCAACGGTGCAGGGAGGGTACCATGAAAGGGGGTCATTCTCACCAGAATGTCCAAAGTACCCCTACCCTTGGGAGAGGGCGCCTCCCCTAGAAGCTCTTGTCGTCAGCCCTGCAAGCTGGAGGCACCTGCCTGTCAAGTTTCTTTGTGCTTTGCTGTGAATGAATGAATTAGGGAATGAATGAAGCACTGAATTAGGGATGAATGAAGGACTGAATTAGGGATGAATGAAGGACTGACTTAGGGAATGAATGAATGAATAAGTGAGCAAATGAATGAATGCAACAGAGGCCCACATGCACTTCTTGGGATGTGCTCTCACAGCCCCATTGAGCACTACAAATCTACTATGCATTGCTATACACCCAACTACACCAGGTACTACAGATACAAAGATGGGCTAGTACGGTGGCTCAGGAGGACAAACACCCCTGTGAATAGACACACTGAATATGTCCAGGAAGGCCTGACAGCAAAGGAAGGCCAGCATTCCACAGGCACAAAGAGAGGGGCAGCTGGCCTTCCAGAGCCCAGTGGGACAAGG